AAATAGGTAAAATGGAACCTCTCCCCACAAAGGGCTTCCCAACTACCCAGCTGGGAGGGAATTGAGAACACTCCTGCCCTCTTCAGACTCCAGTTCTACTTGGTTCAATAAATTTTATTAATGCCTACTATGGTTCAGGTACTATTCTAGGCCCTTGGAACACATCAGTGAACAAAGAAGACAAAAATCCATACCCTCCCCAGCAGAAAAGGGAAGAGGGCTTTCCCATAGCTTAAGGAGACCATAGAGGGCAAGTCCACCAGGATCCCTGACGAACCTTACCAGCCAAGTGGGGAAGAGACTGACTGGATGAGGAGGCAAAGACAGACCCATAGAGAAGATGGAGGAGCAATATGTTCTGGAACAGTGTGAACTCTTCTCCCATGGGAAGTACCCAACAGTGTTAGACAGGAACCCCCAAAGTGACAAGGAAAAGCAATTCTGGGAGCCCAGCTTTATTACATCAGATTGGAGGGGCAGGAAATAGTCTCCCATTCTGAGCTAGAAGGAGACAGAAGGACATGGGATGGAAGGCTTCCACAGGCTGGGCTTGGCTCTGGGGCATGTCAAAGCTCAGAACCCCAGAAAATAACATCTGTTCCAGCCCAGAGTGGCTCCTCACAGCCACTGGTGGAGAGAAGAAAGGAAAAGGTGAGCCCAGGGGCCAGGATGAGCCAAGACTCAGCTATTGGAAGCAAGGGGAGAGGAAGGAAGAGTGTAGACATTTGCAGGGTGGGGTGGACATGTGGCTGAATAACTGAATGGGCTTTTACATTCATCTTGACAGGCATTGGTTTAGGGTGGGATGGGGGCATGTTGGTCTGGCTATGGATTTTGCCAGAAAGCCCAGCTACCACTTGTCTTTGTAGGGTGATGGACATGTTCTGAAACTAGACTGTTGGAGCACTTGGGTGGCTCAGTCGGTTAAGCATCTGCCTTCGGCTCAGGTCATTATCTCAGGGTCCTGGGATCGAGCCCCTCGTCGGGCTTCCTGCTCAGCAGGGAGCCTGCTTCTCCCTCTGCCCCTCACCACCCCACACCCCCACCCCCCACTCTCTCCCTCAAACAAATAAATAAAATCTATTTTAAAAAATAAAATAAAACTAGACTGTCATGAGGGCTGCATGACTCAGGAAATTTATTAAAATCCTTAAATTGTACACTTACAATGGGTGGAGTTGATGGTGTGTAAATTATACTTCAATAAAGCTGTTAAAAAAATATCTGCATTTCCTCTCTTTTGGTGGTAAGTTTCTGAGTAGCACAGTGGCATTTTATCTGAAATTGAATTATGCCCATTTGAAACAGAGCGATTCAAATTCAAAACTGTTTATGATATCTCAATGCCCCAAGTTTGAAATAATGCATATCCCAAATTTTTAAAAATGTGTCAAGAATTTAACATTCTTGGGGTGCCTGGGTGGCTCAGTCAGTTAACCAGCTGCCTTTGGCTCAGGTGGTGATCCTGGGGTCCTGGGATCAAGCCCCAGGTCAGGCTCCCTGCTCAGTGAGGAGCCTGCTTCTCCCTCTGCCTCTGACCCTCCCCCCCACCATGCTCTTTCCCTCTCTCTCTCTCTCTCGCTCAGTCTCTCTCTCTCTCTCTCAAATAAATAAATAAATAAAATCTTTAAAAAAAAATTAACATTCTTAAAGCTAGCAGTGGGTGGGCTGAGTTTAAACTGTGTTTGTGCTGTTGCCACATGGGGGCACACCATCCCAGTTGATAAACTGAAGCATCTGCTGTAACCCCAACAGTCTGTGGATCAGAACTCGTGGTTAGAGGGACAAATGCCACCTTTCTTCCCCTTCCTTGGTTCCTCCCTCCGTTCCTTTCTTCCTTTCTTTTTTCATCTTTATTCTTTCTACTGTCACCATGATTAAAATATACAGCCTCTAACAATATCATCTGAGTTTTATTTGGCAGCGCCCAGACTTGGTGCTAAAAATGTGCCCCCATCAGACCCATCAGACACGAAGGTGAGAAAACTCTGTAAAGAACTGAAGACCAGACATCAACCATGATACCCTGCATTCTTAATATAGAAGAGTGCTTGCTACGCATTATTAGAATATAATGGTGCGATTGCAGACTTAGGTGCCCTGGGTGGGTGCTGGCTGAGAACTGGGAAGGCTCCCTCCCAGAGGCCAGCCCTTAGCCCACCTGAAGGCCAAAGAAATGCCAGCCATCCGACTCTCTCTTCACTCCCAGAACCCCAAAACATCATAAACACGGGTCAAATGAACCCTAGCCCTCCCTGCTTCTATTGATGGTACCCATTTCATGCTTGAGGCTCTACCTGAAAATGAGGGATCAAATGGCTCTCAGCACCCCTACTCCAACCTCTACCAACTCCATGCCACCTTCCACCTCGCACAGTGCCCCCACCCGGGACTGCCCTGGCTTCCTCCCATTAGCTTCCAGTCCCCACTGTCCCCCACCCCCACCAAATGGGCTTGCTGGAAGGGCTCTGATGAGGCCACTCCCTGGCTCAAACTTCAGTGATAAGCCCCAGACCCTCTGGAACACCCTGTTCCACCTTACTCCTCCAACATGATCTGTTCAACCCCCCCTCCTTTTCCCCAGACCCTCCAACTTGCCAGTTTTCACAGAATCCTCCATGGCGTAGCCAGAGAGACCGAAGGGGATCAGCCCTGCTCTCCCTGCCTGCCACTAGTCTCCCTGGGGACCCGTCTGCTCATTAGTAAAGTACTGCCTGCCCCGTTAGGGAAGGCCTGATGTACCCAGATGGGTTCCTGCAGTCACCGCTTCACAGTTCCTGTGAGCAGGGGCTGAGACACCCCCACGCCATCCTGTCTTGGGGCTTTGGGAGGAGGCAGTGGGATGCTGATGTCTCTTCTCCAGTTCAGTTGTTAGCGGATGGGGTGGGGTGGAAGTGGGGCAGTCTGCGGCAACATAACCAGCATTTTGCTTCCCCGTGACAGGCTTGTCCCTCTCATCGCTGCCCAAGGTATCCAGGGTCAGAGGAGAACGATGTTAATCTCTTCCTTGTTTATACATTGCTCAAGAGCAGGAACACAAGTGTCAGGGGGGCAGAGTGCAGGCAGAGGGAGGAAGGCCGGCCTGAGGCCTGGGTGGAGCTGGTCTGATGAATCTTAAAGCAAAACAAGAAGACTGATGTTTTACTCACAGGAAAACCAGTGAGGTGAGCAAAGGAGAGGGGAGTCTATGGAAATGTATCTATGGAAAGCCGCCTTTTTGGAAACTTTGGGCAGAGCCAAAGCTAATATAAACCATGAAACAGATTTTGTCAACAAACTCAAGCCTCCCAAGACTGGTTCCTTTGCCTCTGAGCAATGAACTGGCCCAAGGGAACCACATCCCCACTACTGGTGACACCTGCCAAGCCTATTCCTCTTCTGTTCAGGCCTGGAGTGGGAGCCCTGCAGAGACGTTCCCTCTGGGGCCCCTGGCAGGCAGGCAAGCAGTCAGGGCCTCCAGGACAGGAAGAAACCTGGGGTTGGGTCCATCTCTGCCAAGGACACCTGTAGGAGATGGTGCTGGGTGCTTTTCCACCAGCCTCGGTTTCCTCAGATGGGGGACGCTAATTCCTGTCCTGCCTGCGACCCGGCAAGCCACTGCAAGATCCCAGCTGGGAGAGGCTTTGTACACTGCAGGGATTCTAACACTGTCCCAGAGGTTAGAATCCTGGTAATTCCGCTGACTGAATGATGAAGACCTGGAGCCTGGGCCTTCCAGAGGGGCCACGCTCCAGGCACTTCCCATCACCTTTTCCAGGGAGAAGAAATGCCTGTGGTTTGAATTTCCTGCTGTCCTTGAATGCAGGGCAGCCCCCAAGCCTGCATGTGCCCCTTGGATGAAAAACCCCTAAGTGGGTGGTCTGAGCCGGGCCACCACACGCCCCCACAGAGGCTGTGATGAGGGTCCTCTCTTGCCTCTGCCCACACCGTGGCGCTGCCTGACCCTGGGACAAAGTCCTGGGCTTTAAAACAGGGAAACTGAGGCCAGGGGCCTAGGTCCCAAAGCTGAGCCTGGCCCTGCCCCTCCCCTAGGGGCTCCCAAAGCCGCAACCCCGCCTCCCCCCTGCTCCCTGCACACATTCACCCAGGGGCTCAGCTGAGGAGGGACCGCGCCAGCCCCTCCTTCAGGGAAGCCAGGATGCAAGGTGGCCCCACCCCAGTCACATCTCCTCTCCTCACCCTCTTGTCACCTTTCCCACGCGGCCACTCCCCACTCCCCACGCCAGCCGGCCTCCAGCTGCCCTGGCTCCTGCCTCCACATCCGGCTCCACACCGGCTGACCGGCTTCCTAAAGCAGGTCACACGCTGACCGGGTCACCCCCTTGCTTGGCTCTGCCCGGCTCCCTGCTGCCCTCAGGCTCCCTCGAGGGGCCCGTCAGCGCTGTCCACGGCCTGGCCACGCTCTCCCCTGACACTCGCCACCCCCAGCCACACGGGGCTCTGCGTTCCCTGACCCGCCGCTCCCCTGACAGGCAGACCCCCAGACCCACCCGAAGAGCCCAGCTCCCCGCTGTGTCCTGGGCTTCTCCAAGCAGGGCCCCCTGTTGACACACAGTCCGAGATGGGGCCCGGCCCCAAAGGACAACCACCTGGTCCTGACGCTGACTCCCAGACGCTCCCAGGAGCCCTCCAGAGTCTGTGGAGCCCCCCACAAACACACATACACACAGCCCCAGAGACTGCCAAGTCCCGTCTCTGCTGTCGGCTCCTGTTCTTCTGGAAAGAACAGACCCCGCCCAGAGGGCAGGCTTGGCCCCGACCGGTGCTTCCTGGGCATCCGCGTGTGCTCTGACCCAGGCCACTCGGGGCTGTGGTGAGGACAGCACCGCCCGCCCACCTCAGCTCTCAGCTCTGAGAGGGAGCCCGGGATGGGTCCCATCCCTCCCACACCCGGGCTGTGTGCTTCGGGCCTCTGTCCCCAGCGGTGACTCTGCACCTGGCATCCCGAGGCGACCGTCACCTCAGTATGGTTCCCAGGGAACAGGCTGTAGACATAGAGGTTGCCCTTTCATATAAAAAATCTTTAATAAAAATAGCTCTCTTCAGAACGAGTCATAAAACAGAAGTATCAAACTGAAATTCCTGCCACCTGGGCAGGAGGGAATGAGGCAGGCTGAGTGGGCCATGGAGAACTTGGGAGTAGTACCCGACCCAAAAGGAACAGCTCGGGCTGGCGGCTGACACGTGGGACTGTGGGCCCAGGGTTGACACATTTTCTCATTTTTCAAGAGGAGGTAGCAATATGTCTTTTTAGGAAAAACTGCCATCTTTTTAATGGTAGTCATAAGTTGACTTCCCTCCCCAGCGAATGACAGTAGAAAGCTAAGTAAAACACAGGCAGCCTGTTTTACACACTCTAGATAAAAATAAATGGATTCCTACAATAGCAAACATTTGTACAAAAGTGACAGCTGAGGGTTCAGCACAGACAGCCTGCCGGGGAGGCACAGCAGCCCGTCCCTTCAGATCAGGAGAGGGGGTTAGAAAAGGTAGGGGAAGTAGCAGGAAGACTCGCAGCACGAACCAGCCCATCTGCAATTCCAGGACAGCAGAGTCCAGTGGGCTCACCAAGGGCCAGCGGGGGATGACGGCCTCCTGGCAGATTTCCAGACCCCGAGCATGTCCCAGCTCAGCCCTAGTAGCCCAGAAGTCTTTTGGCCTCTTCACTCTGGGCCTGCAGGGTCTCACTAGCATACTTCTGGAGGAGTTCCATCTTCTTCCTCCGCACAAGGGCCTCCTCAATCTGTGGATGGCAAGAAGAAAGGGCTCATGCTTTACTCCTCAGCGAGGCCCTCCCTGCCCTGCCAGAACCCAGCCAGGAGGGAGTTCCCGGGACCATCAAGGAGCCAAAACCCAGAGGCATCTCCCAGAGCCCCACTCTTCCCCACTGGAAGTGTACGAACAACCGTGTCTCAGTATTCCCTAACGCAGACAAGATCTTGCCTCCCCCGGATTCCACACCCTATTGTGAGCAGAGCGACCAGGCGCATGCGGTTGGGGTCAGAGCTGCCCTAAGGGATAGGAAGGAGGAGGAAAACCCACTCCCCCACTCTGTGCAGTCTCCTTTAGAGGAGAGGCCCCTGGCGCTGGGGAAGCCCCACAAGCAAGGGCAGCTCCCTGCCTCTGTCCTACCTCTTGCTGGGATGGCACTGGGACGTGGGCGATGAACTTCTGCTGCCCGTCTTCACCTCCTTTCTCCTGGCTGCCTTCCTCGTCAGACTACAAATAGAACCACCAAAAAGTCAGTGAGCAGGAGCCCGTTAAACACAGGCTGGGACCACTACAAAAATGCACAACTATGCAGCTGTTTAAAAGGAAAAAACAAAAGGAATGAGGAAGTTCAGTGCTCAGAAAGACATGAAGACGCACCATTAACTATTTAAAAAGCAACAAAGCACTGTGTAAATTATGCCACCTTTTGTCTGAGGAAAGAAAATAAGAAAAGAAACTAGCGAGAGCCGTGAGAACCAGGTACATCTCTGCACCTAGAGAACTAGAGAACCTTTGTTGATCTTTATGTATTTTTGTGGCTTTTGAACCTTGTAAATGTTATCTATTTTGTTTAATTAAGATTTTAAAATGTATCACATACAGAAAAAAGATCAACTCAGAGTCTGCACATGAGTCAAAAGAGATTACTTATCACCTAAGGAAATACTGTGGCTTTGGAAACCTGAAGAGAGGACTCCTGTGAGGCGCTGGATGCCCCGCACCAACCTCTCGGCACACCCGCTGCCCAGTGGAGCCGGCTGGAGACCCTTCAGTGGAATGTCTCGGATGCTGCTGGTAGGAGTGCAAACCGGGCCCAGCACTTTGGGAAACAATTTAGCTGTTATCTACTGAAGCCCAGCACAAGCCTCCCCTATGACCTGATAATTCCACTCCTCCATGTACACACAACATAAATGGCTGCCTATGAATAAGAAAGGCCACAGCAGCCTTATTTGGTATAGCCCCAAACTGGATGCTAAACAAACACCCACGATCATTAGACACCAAAGAGATGCATGATTCCACCAACTGACGTCAAGTTCAGAAGCAGGTAAGAGCTTAAGGGTTATGAGAGGTAAGAAGAGTAACACCCAGGAGGGCAGGAGCAAGCTTCTAGGGTGCTGGTCATGGTCACGTTCCATTTCTTCACCTGGTATCGGCTCCATGGAGTTGTTTGCCTTGTGAAAATGCACCGACCTGCCCACTTACCACTTGCATACTTCTCTCTATATGGACTACTACTCAGCAATAAAAAGGAATGAACTCTTGAATGCAACAACTCCGATGGATCTCAAGGGCATTGTGCTGAGTGTAGGGACCATCCCCAAAGGTGACATAAGGTATGATTTCACTTATGAAACATTCTCAAAATGACAGAATTACAGAGACAGAGAACAGACTGGAGTTTGCCGGGGTGAGGGATGGGGGAAGGAGGGAGGTGTGACTGTGAGGGAGCAGCGCATGGAGGGAACAGCTCCGTATCTTGATTGAAATGGAGGTTACAGGGGCACTTGGGTGGCGTAGTCAGTTAAGTAGCCAACTCCTGGTTTCAGCTCAGGTCATGCTCTCAGGGTCGTGGGATCAAGCCCCACGTCAGGCTCCATGCTGAGCGCAGAGTCTGCTTAAGACTCTCTCTCCCTCTGCCCCTCCCCACCACATGCACTCTCTCTAATAAAGAAATCTTTAAAAAAAGAAACAAACAGGGGCGCCTGGGTGGCTCAGTTGGTTAAGCGACTGCCTTCGGCTCAGGTCATGATCCTGGAGTCCCGGGATCGAGTCCCGCATCGGGCTCCCTGCTCGGCAGGGAGTCTGCTTCTCCCTCTGACCTTCCCCCTCTCATGTGCTCTCTCTCTCATTCTCTCTCTCTCAAATAAATAAATAAAATCTTTAAAAAAAAAAAGAAAGAAAGAAAGAAACAAACAAACAAACAAACAAACAAATGGTGGTTACACAAATCTACACATGATAAAAGACACTGAACTCTATACACTCATTACACCAATTCCGTTTCCTAGTGTGGATATTGTACTATAACTTTGGAAAATGTAACCATTGGGGAAAACTGGGTGAAGGATACACAGGAAGCTCTGTACTACCTTTACAGCTTCCTTTAAATTATTTCAAATTTTAAAAAAGACCCACAACCACCTCTGGTGGCTTGCCATTGCTCTCCGGATAAAGGCAAAGCCTCCTCCCGGTGGAGCTGGGGTGCTTGTCCTGCCTTGCCCCTCTCTCCCGCCTCCTCTCCTCTCCCCACCAGCAGCCCACACTGTGCTTCAGCCACACTGGCCTGTCCTCTGTCCCTCACACTCCCACAGCGTCTCTCAGTACATGCTGCTCCCCTCTGCCTGGAACACTCTTCCCTCACCGCCTCTCACTTGGTTAACTTCTCCTGATCTTCCAGGCCTCAGCTGAATGGTCAATTCCCCAGGAAAGGCTTCACGGGCTCTCCCCACACCGTGTCACTATCTCTGTGACAGCCACTGTTTTCCATCGACTCTACCCACTGGGCTGTCTCCCCACTGACTTTAAGCTATAAGCAGAGCTTGTTTACTGCTGTGCCCCTGGCATGGGCCTGGCTCACAGTAGCCACTAATTAGGCAAACAGCTGCTGAAAGAGCAAATGAATATTTGCAGCTAAAGAAGACCTTCCTAGGTAAGGGTGCCTGGGTGGCTCAGTTGGTTAAGCATCTGACTCTCGATCTCAGCTCAGGTTTTCATCTCAGGGTCTTGAGTTCAAGCCCTCACTGGACTCCACTCAGGGGAAAAAAAAAGGAAGGAAGGAAGGGAGGGAGGGAGGGAGGGAGGGAGGGAGGGAGGGGAAGGGGAAGGGGAAGGGGAGGGGAGGGGAGGGGAGAGGGGAGGAGAGGGGAGGGGAGGGGAGGGGGGAGGGGAGGGGAGAGGGGAGGGGAGGGGAGGGGAGGGGAGGGGAGGGGAGAGGAGAGAGGAGACGAGACGAGACGAGACAGGACGAGACCTTCCTAGGGCATGCGGCCAGCTTACTTCAAATGCTTCACTGTCCCCACTGCTCATCAGCCAGGCCTGCACAGGAACCTCAGGTCGGCTATATCCTGTGTGATGTTGACCAAGTCACTAACCTTCTCTGAGCCTGCTTCTTTACCACTGATATCACAGCAAGCTCCTCACACGGGACCTGACCTACCGCCCATGCACAAGTAATGCCCCTCCCCTTCTCAGCCCAGCAAATCCATTTTATTCTTTCTCGATGTGTCCAAGGAGTGAGGCCTGCATGGCAGGCCCCTCAGGAGAGCCTGAAGCTAGGAGGCTCTGCCAGAGAGGCAGGATCACAGCTCCACCTCAGCCATGACCTTCTCCATCAGTCCCTTGTCTGCTCTGGGCTGGTTTCTATCTCTACCATGGGGGTGTGGGGGTGTTAAGACTGCAGAAGAGCTACTGGCACTGCCATTTAAAAACAAACAAAAAAAGGAAATAATGAGACCTACTGCTGACACCTTGATCTCAGACTTCCAGCCTCTAGAACTCCGAGTAAATCCATTCCTGGTGTTTAAGCCAACCAATCTGTGGTACTTTGTAAAGTATAAGCAATAGATCTATAATTGAACCTGAAATCATGGTAATAATAAATAAATGAATACATAAATAAAGAGAAGCGATGGGGACAGGGGCTATAACTCATACGGCTTCAAATGTGTTTAGAAGTCGGAGAGCAGGGGCGCCTGGGTGGCTCAGTTGGTTGGGCGACTGCCTTCGGCTCAGGTCATGATCCTGGAGTCCCGGGATCGAGTCCCACATCGGGCTCCCTGCTGAGCGGGGGGTCTGCTTCTCCCTCTGACCCGCTTCCCTCTCGTGCTCTCTGTCTCTCATTCTCTCTCTCAAATAAATAAATAAAAATAAAATCTTTAAAAAAAAAAAAAAAAGAAGTCGGAGAGCAGTATATTCAGGAGGTAAGTAATTCTGGGTGTAAAGCAGTTTACAAGGTGCTCTCACAGCCATTCCCTTCTGGAACCCTCCCTGGGATGCTGCGAGATGAGCCTCATGTCCATCTTCCAGGTCAGGAAGCGGAGTTCTCACCTGGAGATAGGGGCAGAGCCAGGCTTTGACCCTGACTGCTCACCAATGAGCTAAGCCTTCCTACCACTCCACCGATTCTCCCAAGGCCCAGCCTTTGTGGCTCGGAGCAGTGAGCACCGGGGCCCCCACTGCCCAGAGTACCTCCTCCTCGGTGACAGCATATATGTTGATCTCTTCCTCTTCTTCCTCCTCCTCCTCCTTTTCTCCTCTTGCCAGCCGGGCCTCTCGCTCTGCTTTCCACTTTTCCACCAATCCGGCCCTGACTGGAGAAACAGGTGCTGCTTAGTCAGGCCTCTGAATTAGTCAGGCAAGGCCAACATGTCCCCTCTGAAGAAGAGAGCCCTCCACTCTGCCCTGGCAGGCAGGAGTGGGATATGAGGGGTAGTCTGGTCATACCACAGCTCTAGGTGGAAGTCACAACAAGGCAGCTTTTTAGGGGACGTCCCCAGATCATCCCCAGTTTAGCAACCTGAGTAGCTTCCTGACATGCCCACATGACAAGGGAGACAGTAGTATATGCTGCTGGAAAAGGGCTCAGGCTCCTGACCACCTGCCCCCAGAGCCCTAGCTCAACACACCACCAGAAGATCAGCACTAACTATTCCTCACAGGGCCATCAGGAGGCTTCAGGACAGGGTCCATAAAATGCTCAGCACAAGGCTTGGCATGGAGGAAGCACTCAGAAAGAGCCACCCATCTTGCTCTACAGTGGTAACATATTGGCTGCGTTTAAAGCAGATCGTAAAGCCACTTAAGGGGCGCCTGGGTGGCTCAGTCGGTTAAGCGGCTGCCTTTGGCTCAGGTCATGATCCCAGGGTCCTGGGATCCAGCCCCGCACTGGACTCCCTGCTCAGTGGACAGCCTGCTTCTCCCTCTCCCTCTGCCTGCTTCTCTGCCTACTTGTGCTCTCTACCTCTCTGTTAAATAAATAAAATCTTTAAAAAAAAAAAAGAAAAGAAAAGCCACTTATATGGGCACCATTTCCTGATTTCAAGAAAGGCCAATGTTGGAAGGAATCCAGATAATAAACTCCCCATGGACGGGGAACAGGTCCGATGTTGCTCTTGGGCATCCTCCACATGCTGCTTCTAGCCCCACACAGCCCCGGACTGCATCACAGTTACGGAGGGTTAGGTCATTAGCAGCCAATGTCTTCTGAAGACCATCAGCAATAAAACAAACTCGCTTTTGGCACACAGCACTATGTAAAAACCCATTTTCAAAGGACAGAACAGAAACCAGATGCCATCTATAATGAAATAAATTGCTCATAGACCTACATTTCTTTTCATATTCCTGTTCCAAAGGCACGATGACACCGTCATCTTCATCGAGGTAACCATAGTATTCAAAATCGATTGCTTTCATGAGCTCGGCACGTGTCTTTCTTGGAGGAGGAAGAGCTAAAAGAAACCGCACCAACTTAGCTAAACATCCCACCACAATCACACTTGAGCCAGCATCCTATACAATGTTACACAGCCAGGGAGTGCGCTCAAGAAAACACCATAGGCCCTTTATAGGCCCTTCCTATACTAGCCACAGAATTACGTAAGTGGTACAACCCTTTTTTCAATCAGTTTTGAAACCTTCAACCCAATTAGTCTACTTAGAAGGCATTTATCCTAATTTAAAAAACAAAAACAAAAGCAGGCACAGAGATGTGCATTGTTTAGAGGGTCGTGAAAACCTGGAATAACCAGGGCTGTCAACTACAGGATGTGTGGGGAATAGGGTACCCTATGACCCCTCTATAGCCATTTCACAAGGTGTTTTGATAACACAGGAAATGTCATGAGGTTTAATTTAAAAAAAATATGATGAAAAATGTAAATATAGAGATAAGACAAAAGAAACTATAAACAAACCAAAAAGATAAATGAGAAAGTCCTGAAGAAAATATTTTCAAACTAAGGGTTACTATTCAGATTATTTAAGTAATTCTTGAAACTCAAAACGTAGGGGCACCTGCCTGGCTCAGTCAGTGGAGCATTGGACTCTTAATCTTGGGGTCATGAGTCTGAGCCCCACGATGGGTAGAGATTACTTAAAACTAAAATATCTTAAAAAAAAAAAAAAGGGAAATGACAACCCAACAGTTAGGTGAAAGAGTAAAAGCTGATCATTTCAGAAGAAAAAATTCATATGTATAAAAATTTCAATTAGTAATTGAATTCAGGGCACCTGGGTGGCTCAGTTGGTTAAGCAGCTGCCTTCTTCGGCTCAGGTCATGATCCCAGGGTCCTGGGATCTAGTCCCGCATCAGGCTCCCTGCTCAGCAGGGACGCCTGCTTCTCCCTCTCCTCTGCCTGCCGCTCCCCCTGCCTGTGTGCTCGCTCTCTCTGTCAAATAAATAAATAAAATCTTTAAAAAAAAAAAAAAGTAATTGAATTCAATTATCAATTTCATTAGTAATCAGGGAAATAAAAAGTAAAAATAATATATTTTCTACCATCAGATCAGCAAAAATTTTATAACTACAGAAAACTAGAAATAGCTAAAGGTCTACCAATAGATGAATAGTTATATAAAGTAAATTCATATCCTATGCTTTAGTTCTTCACATCCACTCACAGAGTTCTAAGCAGAACGATGGGAGGACATCAATGCAGAGCACAACACAACAGGTATGGGAGGGCCACTGGGTCTTCGCAGGCCTCCACCTATCACCCTGACGCTGGTAATGGCGAGTCTGTCCACCCCTGCACCACTCTTGGTCCCTGTCCTGTGATGATGCTGGCTGCACCCAGCACCGGGTACAGGGCTAAAACCTGGCTGGCTCAGAACACTGCATCCCTCCCTGTCACAGGGACTGGTTTAAGGATTGAACTATGATCTGATCAAAGCCAAACAGCTTCAATTCTAGGAGTTTTGTTTGAACCGCTTGGGGGAAAAAAATCTCTTGCTGAGAGAGGACAAAATGTAAACTGATGATGGACCACTTGCCACCACAAGCAGAGAGCTAGACAGAGAAACAAGCTCACAGGCTGGAAGTCAAAAATACAAAATAGAGGAAATGTGACCTGCAATCAGCCATTCCTGAAGACAAACTACCCGTGGGCTTTTCAGTTATGTGTGTCAATAAATTCACTTTTCTGCCTAAACGGAACTGGGGATGAGTCATCTGTCACTCATACTGATGAAATTTAGCTGATGAAATAAGCATGTAAGTGCATAAAAAAAGGCCTGGAAGGGAACGCACGAAACATAATTGTGATTACCAGTGATCCAGGGGCACAGGGATGGGGGGAACCCAGGGGACAGTGCTATTTGAATTATACTCATTAAGACTGACTTAAGCACTTTCGGGGTGCCTGGGTGGCTCAGTCGGTTAACCGTCTGCCTTCGGCTCAGGTCATAATCTCGGGAACCTGGGATGGAGCCCCCCATTGGGCTCCCTGCTCAGCGGGGAGCCTGTTTCTCCCCCCCCCCAAATAAAATAATCTTAAAAAAAAAAAGACCTAAGCACTTTCTTATTAAAAAAAAAATCTAGGGGCGCCTGGGTGGCTCAGTTGGTTAAGCGACTGCCTTCAGCTCAGGTCATGATCCTGGAGTCCCGGGATCGAGTCCCACATCGGGCTCCCTGCTCAGCGGGGGGTCTGCTTCTCCCTCTGATCCTCTTCCCTCTCGTGCTCTCTGTCTCTCATTCTCTCTCTCTCAAATAAATAAATAAAATCTTTAAAAAAAAAAAAATCTACAACTGATTTTTTTAGAAAAATGCAAATTTAAAAAAGTATTATGTACAGCATAACCTCAACAGAGGAGCCCCCCTCCACGTATGTATTTTTATACATATGAATTTTTTCTTCTTAAATTATCAGCTTTGATTCTTTGACCAATCTGTTGGGTTGTCATTTCCCTTTAAAAACTGGAAGGAAATATGCCCCAACATGTCAACAATTGTCATCTACAGGATGTGAAAATATAGACAATTTTTTTCTGATTTTCTGTATTTTACAACTTCTCTATAATAAAATGATATTACTTTCATAATGAACAGCATGATATTTAAACTATGAATTATTTTTTTTAAGATTTTATTTTTAGGTAATCTCTACACCCAACATGGGGCTCAAACTCACAACCCTGAGATCAAGAGTCACACACTCCACCAACTGAGCCACCCAAGCACCCCCTGAATTAATGTTATTATTATTTTAAGATCATTTTTTAGAGGGGGGGAGGGGCAGTGGAAGAGGGAGAGAGAGAATCCCAAGCAGACTCCCCGCTAAGCGCAGAGCCTAATGCAGGGCTCAATCTCATGACCTTGAGATCATGACCTGAGCCGAAATCAAGAGTCGGATGCTTAACAGACTGAGCCAGCCAGGAGCACTTCCCCCTGAATTTTTTTTAAGTGTTGTTAATAACACATGCCAAACAGTTTGGGCATAATTAATTTAAAAATAAGCAGGGCTTAATATAGTAGAAGTATATTTTTAAACCAACAGAAAAACTGACTGGAAGGAAACAGAGCAGAATGCCAACAGCGGTGAGAATACTAGTGTCATTCCTCTCTGCTATTCATCCTTTTTTCTATAACGTGTTTAGACTTTATAGAAAAATTAAAAATCCACAACACTCCAGGCTAGTGGTTTCCAAGTGCATTTTGGAAGGCCAAGGTTTGGCTGAAGCTCCCCAGGGCCACGGAGGGAGAAGGCAGGTCAGGTGAGGGGACCAGCAGCATGGATCCACACATAGCCGTTCCGCTTTTCTCCATTTATACCTCCTGGGGTTTGGCCCAAGGTTGTACTTGTTCTTCAGGCAGGGATTTTTCAACTAATAAGTAACTGAAAGAGGAACCCGTTTCAATGAACATCAGAGCCTGCCCTGATAATCAGAGGCAACTTCAAACAGGGAAAACATTGGGGCTGAGAGACTGGCACGTGCCAAGGGTGAGCATCTGGTACCAGTTGATTCTGGAGCCACCTCCCAGTCCCAGCTTGTGCCCTGGGCCTATGACTTCAACTCCTAATACTTACAGTTTCTCATTTCAAATCTGGGAACAATAATTCTGACACCACTGCCGTGCAGCTGAGAAACAATACAGGAAAAGCACCCAGCCTACACAGACGTGTTATGATGATCACCAGCAATCAGAGGCTAAAACCGTCACACACATTAGCAGTTACTTACGTTCTTTTTCAAAAAGCTCTCTGACACCAGGCAAATCTTTCGCTGCTCCAAAGTACTTGTAACCTCGATTTCCTGGGACTTCTTTCCCTTCATGATCCAGCATTTTAGGGCCAACTTTCTTATTGGGAAGGAAAAAGAGAAAATGGATCTGATCCTTTAACCCACTATTTCCATGTTTGCAAATATACTTTAAGATAATAACATTGAATGTGGGAAAACATTGATGTACAGAGAAAAATACTTAGGTACATTTTTTTCATAAATTAAAATCAGTCTAAATACCTAACAGTATGAGGATGTTTTAAGTAAATTATAGCATAGTCAAAGATGGAATATATTCTATACCTGTAAAATGATGATTCTTATGAAACTTTTGTATTGCCTTAGGAAAACATTTATGATATGACCTAAGTGACAAAACTTAAAGAAACAATTGCAAACAACTTTAATGACAAGCAGTAAAAGACAAATGAAATACATCCTGAAGACAAAATTCTATCCATCAAAAATGATGATGTCAACAACCACATGTAGTATGTGACCCTGGACTAGGTCCTGTCTTAGAGGGGGAAATGCTAAAAAGGAGATTATTGGGAAAATCAGTGAAACAGCCAAGTAGGATGGATAAAATGATTGTATCAAAGTTAAATGTCTTACACTTGATAATTCTACCACGGTTATGTAAGAGAATATTCTTACTCTTAGAAAATACACAGAGAGGAAAAAAGAAAATACACAGAGATATTAAGTATTAAGGGGTAAGGAAGCATGATGTATTTAAGCTTCAAATGGTTCAGAAAAAATAAATCTCAAGGTACACAAAGAAAATGACAAAGTAAATACAGCAAAGTATCAAAAACTGGTGAATCTGTATGAATGGTATATAAGAGTTCTCTCTACTGATTATACAACTTTCTCAAAAATGCTTTTTAAAATAGTGATACAGGGGCGCCTGGGTGGCTCAGTCGTTAAGCGTCTGCCTTTGGCTCAGGTCATGATCCCGGGATCCTGGGATCGAGCCCCGCATTAGGCTCCCTGCTCTGCAAGAAGCCTCCTTCTCCCTCTCCCACTCCCCCTGCTTGTGTTCCTTCTCTCGCTGTGTCTCTCTCTGTCAAATAAATAAATAAAATCTTTAAAAAAAAAATAAAAATAAAAAATGAAATAGTGATACAAATGATTATTGACATGAAATTATGTTCCTGATACACTATTAAGTGAACCAAGCACATAGTTGAGTAAGAAACAATCCTGTAAAAATGAACATACATATACATAGAAAAAAAAGCTAGAAAGATACATAGAAAATGTCACTAGCAGTTATTTCTCTGGGCTAGAAAAATATATAACATATTCTATATCATGCATAGAATATAACAGTTTTTTAATATTTTATAATTTTTACATTTTTTTATTTTATATTTTCTCTCTCTTTTTTGCACAGAACTATGTAGTATCTACATAACCAATGTTACCATTTTGGAATGAAGCACAAATGCTACAACCAAAATTATACATACAGTGAGTGTGATCTCAGTCATGGCATTAACAGTCAAACAATGGAAGGAACTATTCAAGCAGCTGCAGCCAGGTAATAGCACTCTGACTGAATGCTCTTCTGCTTCTTTACACTTTTCTGACCTTAAATGACAATGTACTACTTTTTCTTTTCTTTTTCATGGTGGTTAAATACATGTAACAAAATTTACCATTTTTAGTGGACAGTTCAGTGACATTAAATATGTTCATAATTATCATGTAACCCTCACCACCATTCATCTCCACAACTCTTCTCATCTTGTGAAACTAAGATTCTAAATATATTATTTTTACACATAGAAAATGGAAATAAAATTGTTAAGCATTAAAAAACTCTAGAAAGAGGGGCACCTGGCTGGCTCAGTCGGTACAGCATGCAACTCTTGACCTCAGGGTTGTAAGTTCAAGCCCCACGTTGGGTGTAGAGATTACTTAAAAATAAAATCTGAAAAAACTCTAGATAAAGAAATACATTAAAATATTAATGTTGAATCGCACCAAAAATTATAAAATACCTAGGAATCAACTTAACCAAGGAGGTGAAAGACCTATACTCTGAAACTATAAAACACTGATAAAAGAAATTGAAGATGACAAAGACATTCCCCACTCATGTACAAGAATTAATATTGTTAAAATGTCCGTATTACACAACACAATCTATAGATTTAATGCAATCCCTATCAAAATACCAGCAGCATATTTCAAACAAATAATACCAAAACTTTTATAGAACCACAAAAACCCTGAACAGCAAAAGCAATCTTGAGAAAGAAAAATGAAGCTGAATTCCAGATTTCAAGATATAGTACGAAACTATAATAATCAAAACAATATGATAGTGGCAAAAACAGACACATAGATCAGTGGAACACAACAGAGAGCCCAGAAATAAACCTAGGATTATACGGTCAACTAATGCACAATAAAGGAGACAAGAACATCCAATGAAAAAAAGATGGTCTTTTCAACAAATGGTGTTTGGAAAACTGGACAGTCACATGCAGGAGAATGAAACTGGACCACTTTCTTACACCATGCACAAAAATAAACTCAAAATGGTTTAAGGACCTAAATGTGAGATCTGAAACCACAGAAGTCCTAGAAGAGAGCATAGGCAGTAATATCTCTGACATCAGCCATACCAACATTTTTCTAGATATGTCTCCTGAAGCAAAGGAAATAAAAGCAAAAATAAGCTATTGGGACTACATCAAAATAAAAGCTTCTGCACAGCAAAGGAAACAATCAATAAAACTAAAAGACAACCTACTGAATGGGAGAAGATATTTGCAAATGATATATCCAATAAGAGGTTAATATCCAAACTATACAGAAATTAAACCACACCCAAAAACAATCCAGTTAAACAATGGGCAGAAGACATGAACATTTTTCCAAAGAAGACATGAAGATGGCCAACAGACACACTGAAAAGATACTCAACATCACTCATCATCAGGGAAATGTAAATCAAAATCACAATGTGTGGTTATCACCTCACACCTGTCAGAATGGCTAATATCAAAAACCCAAGGGCGCCTGGGTGGCTCAGTTGGTTAAGCGACTGCCTTCGGCTCAGGTCATGATCCCGGAGTCCCAGGATTGAGTCCCGCATCGGGCTCCCTGCTCAGCGAGGAGCCTGCTTCTCCCTCTGACCCTCCCCCACTCATGTACTCTCTCTCTCTCTCTCATTCTCGCTCTCTCAAATAAATAAATAAATCTTTAAAAAAAAAAACAAAAAAACCCAAGAAACAACAAGTGTTGGCAAAGATGTGGAGAAAAAGGAACCCTCCTGCACTGCTGGTGGGGATTCAAACTGGTACAGCCGCTCTGGAAAACAGTATGGAGGTTCCTAAAAAAATTAAAAATCGAATTACCATAAGATCCAGTCATTACACTATTGGAATTTACTCAAAGAAAATGAAAACACTGATTTGAAAAGATATATGCATTCCTATGTTTACTGTAGCATTATTCATAGTAGCTAAGGCTATGGAAGCAACCCAAGTGTCCATCGACTGATGAATTGATAAAGAAGACATGGGATACACACACACACACATATATATAATGAAATATATATATAAATATATAAATATAAATATACATACACAATGGAATATTCAGCCATAAAAATTAATGAAATGTTGCCGTTTGTAACAACATAGATGGATCTGTAGGGTATCATGCTAAGTAAAATAAGTCAGCCAGAGGAAAAAAAATACCACATGACTTTCCCCATATGTGGAATTTAAGAAACAAATGAACAAACTAAAAAAAGAGACAAAAAACCAGACTCTTAAATACTGAGAATACACTGATGGTTACCAGAGGGGAGGAGGGAGGAGGATGGGTGAAATTGGTGAAGGAGATTAAGAATACATGTATCATGATGAGCACTAGGTAATGTACAGGATTGTGGCGTCACTATATTATACACCTGAAACTAATTATACTGGAACTTTAAAAAAAATTTTTTTAAAGAAATATAGTCAATAATGTTGTAATAACTGTGTAGTGACAGATGGTTAACAACGCTCATGGCATAATGTACGGAATTGTTGAATCACTATGTGGTACACCTGAAATAAATGTAATATTGTGTGTCAACTATATTTCAATAAAAAATAACACTGAAAATTTTAAGAAAATTAATGTTGACTTTGGGTGGTGGCAGTTAAGAATACCTTACATATTCATTTTTTATTGCTTCTGAGGTCATTTTTCCGGGAGGGTTACCAAACTTCTGCATTACTTTAAAGCTGTTTGACAGGACACATAAAATCACCGTCACCAAACTGCTCAAGAGAGTAAGTGAGAAAGTTCCTCATGCAGTGCCAAGAACAAAACCAGGGCTCAAGAAACATGAATGCCTCTCCTTCGTTTTTACGCCAAGTACTAAAGTGAGAATTATGTGTGTTAAACTGTCATAAAAGTGAAAATACCAGCAGGTTAGAAAAACTTCACATACTTCCTACATAACACATTACAGCTCACTGATCAGGTCAAATGACCTGAGGTAGATCTCATCACAAACGAATAAATGGGGAGGACTCTGGGGTAGTATTTTTTAAAGTTAAGACCCATGAGTGAGTCATGAAGTCAATTAAGTGGGTCACAATCATCAATTTTTTAAAATCAAAATATAACAGAATAGAAAATATCAACATGCATCACCATGTATTTTTTCAGTACATTTTTGTGTGTACTGGGTTGTGATAGAGAGTTGGTATGCATGTGTTTCACAATGGGTAATGGTCCTAAAAACTTGACAGCCAGTACAGAGGACTGAATTTATGATAGTCCAAAGAGGGGCACCTTGGTGGCTGACTTGGTTAAGCGTCTGCCTTCGGTTCAGCTTATGATCTCGGGGTCCTGGGATCAAGTCCCGCATCGGGCTCCTTGCTCAGCAGGGAGCCTGCTTCTCCCTCTGCCTGCTGTTCCCCCTGCTTATGCTCTCTCTCTGACAAATAAATAAACAAAACATTAAAAAAAAAAAATGATAGTCCAAAGAAAGGAGGGCCCCTGAGGCCCCCTCAGGTAAAGAACCCAACAATGGCTGCCCCGACTTCCAAGGAGCTCAGGGATGATGCAAAAGGACCATGGTCGTTTTTCTTTTGTTTTTTAAAGATTTTTATTCTTTTAATTATCTCTACACCCAACATGGGGCTCAAACTCACAACCCTAAGAACAAGAGTCGCATGCTCCACTGACTGAGCCAGCCAGGCACCCCAAGACCACCTGAGCAGTAAACACAGGTGCCCTGTCTGCTCTGAGGGCTGTGCTTTGGGATGTTTAAGAATTATCCTACCCGGGGCGCCTGGGTGGCTCAATAGGTTAAGTGTCTGCCTTCAACTCAGGTCATGATCCCAGGGTTCTGGGATTGAGTCCCGCATCGGGCTCCCTGCTCTGCAGGAAGCCTGCTTCTCCCTCTCCCACTCCCCCTGATTGTGTTCCCTCTCTTGCTGCGTCTCTCTCTGTCAAATAAATAAATAAAATCTTAAAAAAAAAAAAAAAAAGAATTATCCTACCCACCCCTTCCATGTTTCCTGTCCACATGCATCGTGCACTTCCCAAACCTTCTTTCATTCCTCAAGTGCCTACTCTGTGGCAGACATGGGCTGGGAGCTGCAGAGGATGCAAAGCTACCCAGGCTGGTAAAAAAGCTCGCTGGCTTACCCCCAAGATCCACTGAGACCACTGCTTACTTACTCCATAATCAGGACCGCCCAGCTCCTTTATCCGGACTTCCCAGTGTCCTTTCTCTCTTAGCAGTTTGTTAATTTCATCATTCAGGTCACGAATTCGGAATTCACCTAAACCAGCTAGAAAACAAAAATGTTAATATCGTTTCTTGAAAATAGCACTCAATGTTATACCCTTAAAAATGAATGTCGGGGGGCACCTGGGTGGCTCAGTCGTTGAGCGTCTGCCTTCAGCTTGGGTCATGATCCCAGGGTCCTGGGCTCGAGCCCCACCTCGGGCTCCCTGCTTGGCAGGAGGCCTGCTTCTCCCTCTCCCACTCCCCCTGCTTGTGTTCCCTCTCTCACTGTGTCTCTGTCAAATAAATAAATAAAATCTTAAAAAAAAAAAAAAAAGAATGTCGGGGTGCCTGGGTGGCTCAGTCGTTAGGCGTCTGCCTTCGGCTCAGGTCATGATCCCAGGGTCCTGGGATCAAGCCCCACATCGGGCTCCCTGCTCAGCGGGAAGCCTGTTTCTCCCTGTCCCACTCCCCTTGCTTGTGTTCCCTCTCTCGCTGTCTCTCTCTGTCAAATTAATAAATAAAGGGGCGCCTGGGTGGCTCAGTTGGTTAAGCAACTGCCTTCAGCTCAGGTCATGATCCCGGAGTTCCGGGATCGAGTCCCGCATCGGACTCCCTGCTGAGCAGGGAGTCTGCTTCTCCCTCTGATCCTCCCCCCTCTCATGCTCTCTCTGTCTCATTCTCTCTCTCAAATAAATAGAATCTTTAAAAAAAAAAATTAATAAATAAAATCTTTAAAAAGGGGGGGGGCGCGCCTGGGTGGCTCAGTCGTTAAGTCTGCCTTCGGCTCAGGTCATGATCCCAGGGTCCTGGGATCGAGCCCCACATTGGGCTCCCTGCTCCGCGGGAGGCCTGCTTCTCCCTCTCCCACTCCCCCTGCTTGTGTTCCCTCTCTCACTGTCTCTCTGTCAAATAAATAAATAAAATCTTTAAAAAAAAAAAAAAATGAATGCCAACACTTAACAAAAGTATCTGGTACAAAAATATTCATTTAAATTTCTAAGAAAGGAGGCACCTGGGTGGCTCAGTCGGTTAAGCGGCTGCCTTCGGCTCAGGTCATGATCCCAGGGTCCTGGGATCGAGCCCCGCGTTGGGCTCCCTGCTCAGGGGGGAGTCTGCTTCTTCCTCTCCCTCTGCCTGCCTCTCTGCCTACTTGTACTATCTCTCTATCTCTCTGTCAAATGAATAAATAAAATCTTTAAAAAATAAAATAAAATAAATTTCTAAGAAAAACCATTAACACCTAAGGAAAAGCAAGGATTAGGAACAAAGTTCCCACCAGCGCAGGGGAAAAAAAAATCCTTGAAAAACAGCTTGCTCCTCATTAGCAACTGAAGAAATATAAACTGAAGCAATCCTGCAGTTCCATTTACCCAATTATTAAAATACCTTAGTGGGGGGGGCACCTGGCATCCAACGCCAGCAATGTGCAGTGAGACTGGTACAAGCACCAGGGCCTGGGAGCATTCTGCGCTGGTTTCACCCTTTCAGAAAAGCAATGTGTCGTTACATGGGGACATCTTTTGGCAAAGACTATACCCTGAGAATTAAGCCTAAGGGACTCGTTATAAAGGAATATGCACAAGGGACTTTGCGAAGGTGTTGTCTATGGCAGCCAAGGCTGCGAGCAGCTGGGGGACCCACCAGAGGAAGGAAAATGGCTAATGACCCCTGATCCGTTAAATAAAATATCACGTGGCTATTGCAAGGGAGTATCCCTCCCTTTCTCCACTGAATGGCTTTTGTACCTTGTCAACTGGCCACATGTGTGGCCCTATTTCTGCCCTTCTTACTCTGTTCCTATCATCTTTCACCAATATATTATTTGAATATAGCAGCTTTATATTAAATCTTAAAAATCAGGTGGTATGAATACTCCAATCTTGTTCTTTTTCAAAATTGTTTTGGCTATTCTAGCTCCTTTGCCTTTCCATTTAAAATGTAGAAAAAAATCTGGTAACCTATTAAAAAAAAAACCCTGTTGGGGGCGCCTGGGTGGCTCAGTCGGTTAAGCGGCTGCCTTCGGCTCAGGTCATGATCCTGGAGTCCTGGGATCGAGTCCCGCATCAGGCTCCCTGCTCGGCGGGGAGTCTGCTTCTCCTTCTGACCCTCCCCCCTCTTATGTGCTCTCTCTCTCTCTCTCAAATAAATAAATAAAATCTTAAAAAACAAAACAAAACAAAACAAAAACCCTGTTGGGATTTTGATTGTGAGTATTTGAAAAGAGACAGAACTGACATCATTACTAGGCTGAGGCTTCCCATCCATGAATGCTGTGTATCTCTCCATGTACTGGGATCGTCTCTGATTTCCTTTATCAGTGTTTGTAGTTTTAAGGATACAGATTGCAGGGGCACTTGGGTGGCTTAGTCAGTTAAGCGTCTGCCTTCGGCTCAGGTCATGACCCCAGGGTCCTGGGATCGAGCCCTGCACGGGTTCCCTGCTCAGCAGAAGACTCTGCTTCTCCCTCGCCCTCTGCCAGTACTCATGTGTTCTCTCTCGCTCTCTCAAATGAATAGATAAAATCCTAAAAAAAAAAAAAATGGGGCACCTGGGTGGCTCAGTTGGTTAAGCGTCTGCCTTTGGCTCAGGTCATGGTCCTGGTGTTCTGGTATCAAGCCCTGTGTCAGGCTCCCTGCTCAGTGGGGAGCCTGCTTCTCCCTCTCCTCCCAACTTGTGCTCTCTGTTGCCATCTCTCTCTCTCTCAAAAAAAAAAAAAAAAAAAATCTTAAAAAAAAAAAAAAAAAGCATACAGATTGCACATATGTTCTGTTAGATTTATACCTAAGTATTTCTTGTGTTTTGGTGCTTTTGTAAATAGCACTTTCTAAAAATGTTCTAGTACCAATTTTTCAATGCTACTTTATAAAAATAGAACTGATTTTTGTGTATTGACCGTCTATTCTGTGACCTTGCTAAACTCACTTATTCATTTTAGAAATCTTTCTATAGGGGCGCCTCGGTGGCCCAGTCGCTGAGCGTCTGCCTTCGGCTCGGGTCGTGGTCCCAGGGTCCTGGGATCGGGCCCCCATCGGGCTTCCTGCTCAGGGGGAGGCTGCTTCTCCCTCTCCCACTCCCCCCTGCTTGTATTCCCTCTCTCACTGTGTCTCTCTCTGTCAAATAAATAAATAAAATCTTAAAAAAAAAAAGAAAAAAAAGAAAGAAATCTTTCTATAGATTTCTTGGGATCTCCTACATGGAAAGTTACATGATCTGAGAACAGAGAATTATAGTTCTTCCCTTCCAATCTGTGTGCCTTTTATTTCCTTTTCTTGCTTTACTGCACTGACTAGGAATTCCAGTAAGACCCTGAATAGAAGTGGTGAGAATAGGTTATCTGCCTTGTTCCTGCCCTTAGGAGGAAAGCATGCAATCTTTCACCATTAATTATGATGCTGGCTATAGGTTTTTTGGTAGAAGTGCTTTATCAGAGTAAAAAAAGAAAATTCCCTTTTTTTTTTTTTTTTTTAAGATTTTCTTTATTTTTTAGAGAGCGAGCGAGAGAGAAACAGCATGAGAGGGGAGAGGGTCAGAGGGAGAAGCAGGCTCCCCGCTGAGCCGGGAGCCCGATGTGGGACTCGATCCCAGAACCCTGGGATCATGACCTGAGCCAAAGGCAGACGCTTAACCATCTGAGCCACCCAGGCGCCCGAAAATTCCTTCTTATTCCCAATTAGTGGTGTTTTCATCATGAGTGAATGTTAAATTTTGCCAAATACTTTTTCTGTATCTACTGAGATGAGCATGTGGTTTCTCTACTTTAGAATGATGATAAGTGAATTATATTAATTTTTGAATGCTAAATCAGCCCATGCATTCCAGGGTAAATCCCACTTGGTTGTGATTTGTTATCATTTTTATAAATTGCTGGATTTGGTTTGCTAATATTCTATTGAAGATTTTTATGTCTGTTGAAGATTTTTATGTCTATATGCATGAGGAATATTGGGTGGCAGTTTTTTTCTATCCGTATAATGTCTTTTTTTTTATTTTAGTATCATGGTAATGCTAATACTAAAATTTATAAAATGAATGATGAAGTGTTCCTTTCCCTTCAATTTTCTGGAAGAAACTAGGTTGAACTGGTATTATTTCTTCCTTAAATGTCTGGTACAACCGACCAGGGAAGCCATCAGGACCTGCAGTTCTCTTTGCTGGAAGGCTTTAATGATAAATTCAATTTCTTTAATAGATATAGGGGTGCCTGGCTGACTCAGTCGGTACAACATGCAACTCTTCATCTTAGGGTCATGAGCTCAAGCCTCACACTGGGCACAGAGTTTACTTAAAAAGAAAAAAAAAATTTTTTTTTTTTTTTTAATAGATAGAAGGCTACTCAGGTTTCAATTTCCTTTTGAACTGTGTTTTTAAACAGTGGCACTACTGACATTTTGGGCCAAAAATTCTTTGTAGAATGCACTGGAGGATGCTTAGCGGCATCCCCGGCTTTATCCACTAGATGCCAGTAGCACCCCAAGTTGTAAAACTAAAAATTTCTCCAGATACAAATGTCCCCTGGAGTGTTCTATAAATGTCAAATTGATTAATACTATTGTTCAGTTCTTCTATGTCCTTACTGATTTTTTATCTACTTGTTCTATTGATTATTGAGAGACAAGTGTTGAAATCCCGAAGTCTAATTGTGGATTTGAGAATCAACACTTTAAAAGACAGGTTAGCTTACCATTCTGAATTTGAGCCACTTTTTTAGAGATCTCTCCAATGATCTGTGAAAAAAAATATAAGGTAATAAATTCTCATGACTTCTGAATATGTCTGAAAGCACAGAAAAAACAGAACTCAAAATTAGTAATTAAAAATACTTAGAATTCTGGTAACGGATCATTTAGATAATAAGAAACAATCAGAATGCAAATCAAAACCACAATGAGACACCACCTTACACCTCTCAGAATGGCTAGAATCAAGAAGACAAGAAATAACAAGCGCTGGCAAGGATGTGGAGAAAAGAGAACCCTTGTGCACTGTTAGTGGGAATGTAGACTGGTGCGGCCACCATGGAAAACAATATGGAGGTTCCTAAAAAAATGATAAATAGAAATACTGTATGAACTAATATTTCCACTACTGAGTATTTACCCAAAGGAAATGAAAACACTAATTGGAAAAAATATATGTTAATTGCAGTATTATTTACAATACTGAAGATATGGAAGCAGCCCAAGTATCCAGGGACAGATGAATGGATAAGGAAGATGAGGTGTACATACACAATGGAATATTACTCGGCCATAAAAAAGAATGAGATCTTGCCATTTGCAACATGGATGGACCTAGAGGGTATTATGCTAAGTAAAGTAAGTCTGACAGAGGAAGACAAATACCACATGATTTCACGTATATAAAAAAACAAAAGAATAAACAAATAAAAAAGTAGAAACAGACCCATAAATAGAGAGAACCAACTCATGACTGCCAGAGGGGAGAGAGTGGGGATGGGCAAAATGGGTGAAGGGGAGTGGGAGGGAGAGGCTTCCAGTTATAGAATGATAAGTCATGGGGGAAAAGGTACAGCATAGGGAACACAGTCAATGGTACTGTAATAGTGTTTACGGTAACAGATGGTAGCTATGCGTGTGGTGTCACCAGGCTGTACACCTGAACTAATGTAACATTCTGTGTCAACTATACTTCAACCCAAAAAGAAACAGAGACTTGTTACTTCTACTAAGACCAGATTCACCCAGAACATACTTGTCGTCTCCACTTCTCAGCTTTGGGCAGCTCAGTACATTCTGAGGCAAGGAAGGGTCTTCGTTCCTAAGAAGAAGCAAAATACACATGTTGCCACTGTCCTAGTTACAAGCTTTATGCAGCATCCCCAACTGATTCAGCCCTGAAGACTAAATGTCTAATGGTCTAAATACATTTGAAGCTTCAGTTCCAGATGATCTTCATCAAGCCTTACATTTCACGCTATGGTCTCTACTTAAGAAACAAGTATACATGCAAAAACATACATAGGCTGCACTGTATCTAGTAGAGTGAACCACTGGAAACAACTTAAAATTCCAGTAACAGAGAGATGGCTAAGTAAGCTAGATTATATCCATTCCATGGCATATTCATATTATCTTAAGAAATAATGGCTATCAGTGTTTAGAACAAAACATACATGTGTGTATACACATGTATGTGTGTGAGCACATATGTATATAATTTTTTTAAAAAACAAAACAAAAACATTGAAAGAATGGTACATATTATTCCTGACCTGGCTGAGCCTCCATGAATTGCGATCATTTACTGGTTGCAGCTTAGAGCTGCTCTCCCCAGCCCTTCCTATTATTCAATATTCAACAGAGCTGGGATAATATGGGAAGCCAATTATCATCATACAGAGGAGGTAGAAGAACAAGCAGCTAGGTCATCACACTGCCCCAGCTATAGGGAGGCACACCTGGAATTCAAGTGTACAGACTATAAGAATGTCAGCAAGTACAGACAAGAAATAGGAAGTCTAGTCTGCTCAGGAGGGAGTTTTACCACATTTATGCTTGATGCTTTACAATTCATGAGGAATATTTACACCAACCTTCACTTTTCCCTCTTCCAGTTGAGCTTGGCGAAATCTTGCTAAGGCCGTCCTACCAGGAAGAGAGAAGACTCCATTAGATACTGCTCACAGATTTGTCACCCAAGTTCCTAGATGGGGCAGGTCTACTCATGACCATCATGTAAGGTATTCATTAATATGACTCATATATATATATATATTATTATATACTTTTTCATAAAAATTATTCATTTAAAAAAAAAAAGAAAGCATACACGAGCATGTGCGAGAGATGAAGACACCACAGAGAAGTTAGGGGTTTTCATGTTCCAACAGTGGGACTTAAAAAAGCCGTTGGTGTTCCTGAACATCCAAGTATCCATTTTACTTACACTGCATTTAAAGACTATGGGAAACTCTACTCATCAGACCACTGTGGTGAGCAACACATCCAGATGTTAAAAGACTAATATCATGGGGTGCCCAGTTGTCACTCTCACAGCCCCTGCACCATCTCCAAGTGAACTAATGTTTATCCAGTATAAGTTCTGGGATCTGTCAGAAAACACTAATGGGGAAAACAAACAGCAAATATGGGAATACTATTTTAACACATGTAGAGAAAGAAACATACCAAAAGGACCAAACACAAAAAGAGCTCTATGGTGATAATTAAGTTACATAAAATTTACAAACAAAATTAAGTTGATACTTACATGGCCTTTTCTGCATTTCGGGCCTAAGAGAGAAGGGAAGAAAAATGCCCATGTTTAAAATACTCTTTTTTTCGGGCTCCTGGGTGGCTCATTGGCGTCTGCCTTTGGTTCAGGTCATGATCCCCGGGTCCTGGGATCGAGCCCCGCATCGGGCTCCCTGGTCAGAGGGAAGCCTGCTTCTCCCTCTCCCACTCCCCCTGCTTGTGTTCCTGCTCTCGCTATCTCTCTCTCTCTGTCAAATAAATAAATAAAATCTTTAAAAAAAAGTAACCTTTTTTTCATGTAGTTTTTAGAGAAAAGTATCACAAAGACAGTCACAAGCATAACGTTTGAACTAGTATATATACACTGTAACAAAAAAAAAAAAAAAAGATGTCCAAATCCTGTGACTTTACTTTCACTGCTCCCTCCACTTAAAATCTTTACTTCTCCACTGTCCCCACCCCCTTGGATCTGGCTAACTCCTATCCATCCTTCACAATGTATCACCTGTGTCATCACCATCCCAGGAAGTTCTGTGGCCCCTTCGTCCCAACTGGGTTGCTAACTTTTGTCTGGGTTTATAACTACCATGGTCCTTCCCACCCAGCATCCCAATTGTCTGTTTCCTGCCAGCAGAATTTGAGAAGAAAAGACTGGCTTTTCTTTCTTTTTTTTTTTTATTTTTTAAAGATTTTATTTATTTATTTGACAGAGAAAGAGACAGCGAGAGAGGGAACACAAGCAGGGGGAGTAGGAGAGGGAGAAGCAGGCTTCCCACAGAGCAGGGAGCCCAATGCAGGGCTCGATCCCAGGACCCTGGGATCATGACCTGAGCCGAAGGCAGACGCTTAACGACTGAGCCACCAGGCGCCCAAGACTGGCTTTTCCAAACTGAGTTTTACCTAAGTATTGTCACACTAGTGTCAAGACAATTGTCCCCAAAACACGGTGTCAAGCACAGAACATGTTTTCTGGGTTGTAGTATAAGTAGAAAGAGGACTTGCTGAGTCAGGGACTTGATTTTACTCTCAGCTCTTCCACTTACCATCCCTGAGAAGTAGTTTCTCAGTTTCCCCATCTTTACAATAGGGATTACAATAGGGATTATCTCACAGAGATGTCATGATGACTTAACAAGAAAAATATATGAAAACATCAGGTATGCAGTTTATAGATACTCAGCAAAAGTGAGCTCAATTTAAGTCTCCTTTCTGGCCCTCCCTTTCAATGAACACAGGAAAAAAACTGGCGAAAGCTTGGTGGACACATGAACACATTATCTACTAAGGAATAAAACAGAGCAGCTTTCCCAGGGGAAGCCATCATCTTGAAGGCTGAGACAGTGTCCTATCTATTTCATTAAATCCTAGAGATTCTGAATATTTAATTTAATGATTCTCAATGCTTACTCCATGCTTAAGATAGGATGGTAGGTACTAGCAATTTAGCCATGGGTCTTCTTTTTAAGGGGACTTACTGGAACTCCCCCCCCACCATGAATCAATGTGATAAGGGAACCCAGGGTAATGGGAGCCCACAAATACAAATGTGTGATGGTGAAAGTGTTGTAAAATAACCAACAACTCCTGTACCCAGAAATATCCAGGCCTAGGGATCCCTCTCCCCTGCTAGTGAATGGAGAGATGGATTCCCTATGCTTGTTAGAGTTCGGAAACAAAGAGCCTCAAGGCTGAGCAGGGCAGTATGAAGCAGTAATTTGGGGCATATTCTCCCACAGAAAGGGCTGTTTCTAGCCCACTAGTTTCTCTCCTTCTTCAGATCTTGGGTTCATTAATCTACAAGAGCTTGCGATACATCTACAACCTATTACTGCTTCGTGTGTTTCTTATGGGGACTTCACTTAATGAAAATACTATGGTTATCAAAATGTGTGAGCAACTTCTTTGTACCAGCGCTATGTGCATTCTCACATTTACATGTCGTGAGCGCTACTTGAACGAATGGAGAAGCCAACAAACCACTCCAGACCACAGAGATCACACCCTCACGCAATAGCACTATGCCATCCATTCAATCGTTACTGAACACCTACAACGTGCCAGACACCGTATTAGACATTAAGAAAGCAATGGTGGAAAGACCCTGTCCTCATGAAGCTTTTATCTCGTGGGGGAGACCGAGGACACATAAATCAAATAACCCAGAAACACACTGTCACAACCGCTGTTCACCTCCCGTATGGGACTTGGAGACAAACAAGTGGGCCCACGCCAGGCACCGTGACTTGCAACCGGCTCTTGCGCCTCTCCTTGCCTTACTTTTCCCGAGCGATAACTTAAAGCGCTTGATCGACATGAAAACACTGCCGGAGAAGGTAACTCCGCTCTCGAGATTCCCGTTTCCTCCCCCAATTTCTGAAGCCTGCAGTGATGCCCAGCTGTGCTCCTGCACCACGAGCGCCCCGAATGCGGCCGGGAGCCCTCACAGCCCGCCCGCTCGCCCCCTCCATCACGCACCCACCCAACTCACCATGGTTGAGTGAGGGCGCTTCCCTGGGGCCGCGCGGCCCCAGCCCCCGGAGCTTCACTGCCTCAGGCAAGGCCGACCCTGGCGGGGAACAAATACTCTATGTGACCGCACCACCGATTTTTCTGTCGGAAGGACGAAGGGGAAGGACCGGAAGTGGGAGCCGGAAGTGAAATGAGAACTGACAAGGGGAGGAGGAAACGCAAGCGCGCTCGCGTAAGGCTGGCCTTTCGTAGGCGCCGGGACGTTGCACCAATACACGCGCACGAAGAATGGGGGCGTTGGCAAAATTGCGCTTGCGCAATGAGACACCTTTTTTTGGCCCCAGCCCCTGGTTTTGCTCTCGCGATAATGAGTGCAAATTTTTCTCGTGTTAATTATTGGTACTGCGGAAGCGGGCGAGGCTAGATGTGGTTGAGTCTAAACTGTTTGGGGTCATGGTTGGTACTGTAGGTGGCATCCCTCCGTCCCCCTTTTTGCTTCTCCTGGTGAGGGCAAACATGCCCTTGTGGAAGTCGCTCGTCCTCATGCCTCTGAACGAACTAAATCCTCCCAAAGGCCTGGGGCAGCTGAACCTAGCCTGCGCAAAAGAGGCTAGGCAGCTCCAGAAGCGGAAGGCGCAGACTCCAGCTAGCGGCGCTGAAACGCCTCTTCGGGCGGAGCGGAGCAAGTGCTCTCCAGGAGTTCGAGCTGGCCGGGCTTCGTAAATTCCTTCACGTTTCCCTGTCATTTGCGTGGGGCCTCAGTTTTTTCGAGCTCTTCTGGAATCGCCGGGCTCATCAGAGCTGGACCAGTAATTGAAGTCACCCTCTTTTAAAATAAGAAATGTAAGGCCCAGGGAAGAAAAAGCTACTTACTCGGAGGAGGAGGTTGGTTAGAGAGGTTACGTATGTGTGTCACTACTCAGAGAGATGCGGTCAATCAGTGTGTGATGAGCATACTGCTGGGATCATAAGATCCTTAGACAAGGACCCAGGAGCACGGGAGAGGCCACTTGATAGGTGGGTATGGTTCTGGTGGCTACTCCCTCATGGTGTCCAGAGCTGTGGTGGGCAGGTCGGGTGAAGGACGGTAGCAAATTAAGCCAGTAAAGCAGCTGTCCTTTTTCAAGCATGGTGCTCTGCCAGAAGACCTAACCAATGGTGGGCACTTCAGCTCCAGCCCGGAGGCACAAGCCAGCAGGGAAAGCAGCTGACGCGGTTCAGGATCTGACAGGACAGACAAGTACTTAAAAGAATAGACACCAGGATCTCATGCCTGAACCATGATAAGGACAAGTTGTCTCGGGGCGCCTGAGTGGCTCAGTCATTACGCGTCTGCCTTCAGCTCAGGTCATGATCCCAGGGTCCTGGGGTGGAGACCCGCATCGGGCTCCCTGCTCGGCGGGAAGCCTGCTTCTCCCTCTCCCACTCCTACTCCCCCTGCTTGTGTTCCCTCTCTCGCTGTGTCTCTCTGTCAAATAAATAAAATCTTTTTTTTTTTTTTTAAAAAGGACAAGTTGTCTCCTTAAAAGTTTTAGGTGGGCATACGGCCTCCCAACTAGACTCCATCTTCCCACGTTCTGGCAGATAGTTGTGGGTTTGTGATTATATAACAGCCAATGGGAATTGAATGGAAGGAATGTGTGCCACTTAGGCATTGCCATGAAAAGTATGGACGGGCCTTTCCCCTTGCCCTTTTCCTTCCCCACTGAGAGGTGACTTATGGCAACAGCCACCTTGAACTCAGAAATGGAAAAATTGTGAGGATGCCAGAGTCATCTCCCAGCTCTGGAACATCTAGCTCTGTAAAATGAGAGGGAAATAAACATAGTCTTGTTTAAGCTGCTGCATTTGGGGGTCTTTTATTAACTTTATTAACCTTTACCATAAATAACACATAACCAAGCTTGTTGGTACCAAACAAACAAGGTCATTTCTCACTCAAATGAGTTTTTCTGAGACAGAAGTTTCTCAAACTTCTGTTTCTTTATCCATTAAATTCCTGACTCTAGGATGCAGAGGTCATATAAAACAGGATTCACGAGGCATTACCTATATTGATTGTCCTTCCAGCATTTGTTCTCCCTACCCACTTAGCTGAAGTCCACGGTTCGGGGGGGAAGAGAACTACATGCCCAGCTTTAAGAACAGAGTAAGAAAGCTAGGTTAAGCTAAACAATCCATGCCATATCCCTACAAATATTGATTGATGGGCTTAAGACCCAGGCTGACCAAGAGTGAGTCTTGGACTTGACTTAAAATGCTGGGAGGATGTCAGAACCAATGTAATACCAGAAGCCACTGTCAGACACTTTAGGACTCCAAGACAAGACTCAGTATTTGGTGACATCAATGAGTTGCTGAATGAGGCCTTGCCTCAAGCCCTCGGCTCAGTCTTCAGTTATATAGACCAATAAACTCTTTTCAGTGTTGAAACCAGTAAGAGTCAGACTTACCAGTACTTAAAACTAGGAGCATCCTGATTATACCATTCATCTTGCCACAGTCTGCTAAGGTCCTTCCTTTCTCTGTGCACACTGATCCTGTCTTTGCCCATACTGTTTCTTGGGCCGGCAGCACCCTTCCTCCATTCTGCTACCCAACTAGTCCCCCTGTTTATGCCTCCTTCTCATTTGAGACAATTTAGACAGCCTTAGGTGACTTAACCTGTGTTTAATTTCTAGTCTGTGAAATTGTCATAACAGTATTTACCTATTTTCATTTTTCCTCATTCATGAAATCGGGACATTTGCTTTACAGAGCTGTTGTTAAAAGAGGCAACTATATATAAGGTGCTCAGGACAGATCTATGTAAAGTTCTCAATTATTTCAAAACCAAAAACCCCATGATCTGCAGTCACATCTATTATGTGGCCTTACCCAAGCCTATGTAGTCAGCTGGGCCGGGTTCAGGGGCTTTGTAAAAGCTCTGTTGGCCTTAATTTTTTCCCCCTCCTAGTATTTTATTTACTTATTTGTGTGAGAGAGAGAACAAGCAGGGGGAGGGGCAGCGGTTAAGGGAGAAGCAGGCTCCCCGCTGAGCAGGGAGCCTGATGCAGGACTCAGTCCTAGGACCCTGAGATCATGACCTGAGCCGAAGGCAGACACTTAACCAACTGAGGCACCCAGGCGTTCCTCTGTTGGCTTTTAAATCACCAAATTTAAGATTTCCAGGCCTTGCCGCCCTGGGATCCTATCTTTTTTTCTTTTTTAAGATTTTATTTATTTTTTTGACAGAGAGACACAGCGAGAGAGGGAACACAAGCAGGGGGAGTGGGAGAGGGAGAAGCAGGCTTCCCGCCGAGCAGGGAGCCCGATGCGGGGCTCGATCCCAGGACCCTGGGATCACACAACTGAGCCACCCAGGCGCCCCCCTACCTTGTTTTTTTTTATCTCCACCCCATGGGTCTGGCTCCTGAGATTTGATAGCCAAATGAGTAAAGCAACAGAGACAATACTGCTGTACTGCCTTTTCTTGTATGCCAACAGCCCCAACTTAAGCTGTTTCTTAGCCACCATGTAAATTTGAACAGCCTTTTGTAGTGCTAAGATTTTCTGTACTTACATTCCAGTATCAATCATATATATCTTATTTATCTACGAATCCACAATTGTGACCTATCATTAGATCACATTACTAATGTACATAACAACTGTAATCTGACCAGCAGGCTGAATTTGGCCTACATGGTTGCTTTGACTTCTATCCTGTTTTAAGAACTGGAAAATCTGGGGGCACCTGGGTGGCTCAGATGGTTGGGCATGTGCCTCCGGCTCAGGTCATGATCCCAGGGTCCTAGGATGGAGCCCTGCGTTGGGCTCCCTGCTCAGTGCAGAGCCTGCTTATCCCTCTCCCTCTGCCATTCCCCCCGCTTGTGCTCTCTGGCTCTCTCTCTCTCTCTCTCTGTCAAATAAAATAAATAAAATCTTAAAAAAATAAGAACTGGAAAATGTCACACACAAATCCTGATATGAGGCAACACTGAACCCACATTCCTGTACAGCAACTGTCAATACGGTTGAAAAACCCTGGGGCGCCTGGGTGGCTGAGTCAGTTAAGCATCCAGCACTTGATCTCAGTGTCATGAGTTCAAGCCCCGCATTGGGCTCCATGCTGCGTGTGGTGCCTACTTAAAAAAAAAAAATGCAAGTGAAACATCCTAATGTTAGATCAGTACATGTTAAAATGTAGAAGTGGTTCTGGAACAGGGCAATGGACAGAGGCTGGAAGAATTATGAGGATGATAGAAAAAACCTAGAATGCCTTCTACAAATCGTTAGTACAAACGTGGATATTAACAACTCTGCTAGTGAGGACTCAGAAAGAAGTGAAGATCTCAACAGAGAAAATCTGTATCTTAGAGAATACATAAATAAAACAAGGACATTGAAGGCACTGCTGGTGAGGGCTCAGAAGGAATTGGGGAATGTTACCAGAAACTGGAAGAAAGGGGAGTCCTTATATGGTAGAAACGTAGCTGAGTTGTATCCTACACTTACGTGGAAGGTGGAATTTGTATACAATAAACTTAGATATTTAGCTCAGGGGGTTTTTTGGTTTCTTTTTGATGCTTATAGTAAAATGCAAGAGCAAAGTGATAACCTAGGGAAGTACTGTTAAAACAGAACCTGAACTTGATGATTTGAGAAAATCTTAGCCTATGCATACTGCAAAAGATGCTAAAATTAGGAGATTCACTGGGATGTGCTCTGGAGAAAAAGCTAAGGGTGTGGTTGAACCACCTTTTTCTAATGCCTCAGAACGATCAAAAGATCAGAATATTCATCCACGGAGCTAGGGTAAGAGATTAGGTGTGTGACTCATGAATCCTTTCAACCACTGCAGCAGAACCCAGGACAGAGATAGAATTATCCAGGAAAGTTCTGTGGAGGAGCCTCTTGTCTAATGAAGTGAATTCCCATGACAAATACAGAAGACCCACAAGGTAGAGAATTTTACACCAGCAGGAAGACTGCCAGCTTGGACTCTGAAGGACAGAAAAAGAACGAAATGAAAGAAGGCTGTCACATTCCCAAAATTTATAAGCAGGAAACAAGCTGATAAAACTACTCAGCTATATTGGGACACCTGGGTGGCTGAGTCGATTAAGCGTCTGCCTTCCGCTCAGGTCACGATCTCAAGGGTCCTGGGATGGAGTCCAGAAGCCTGCTTCTTCCTCTGCCTGCAGCTCCCCCTGCTTGTGCACACGTGCTCTCTCTCTCTGACAAAGTCTTTGGGAAAAAAACACAAAAAACTACTCGTCTATAAACAAGTGCTACCCTTCATGAAAAAGGGAGGGCTGGGGTGCCTGGGTGGCTCAGTCGGTTAAGCATCTGCCTTTGGCTTGGGTACTGACCCCAGGGTCCCGGGATCGAGCCCCATATTGGGCTCCCTGCTCAGCAGGGAGTCTGCTTCTCCCTCTCCCTCTGCTGCTCCCCCTGTTTGTGCTCATTCTGTCAAATAAATAAAAATCTTAAAAAAAAATAATGAAAGAAAGAAAAAAGGATGGCTCCTGGGAAGTCAGCTTGAGCCCGGAGAATATCCTCAGGTATTAAAACCTGATACTGTTTGCCCAACCAGATTTTTATTTTTTTAAAAGATTTATTTATTTGAGAGAGAGAGCACAAGTGAGGGAGCGAGCACAAGCAGATTGAGCCCCACCTCGGGTTCCCTGCTCAGCACAGGGTCTGCTTGAGATTCTCTCCCTCTCCCTCTGGCCCTGCCCCCATCCTCTAATAAGTAAGTAAAATCTTAAAAAAAAAAAAAAAGGAATTTGTAAAAGCCCACGAGTTCATAATTTACTAAGAAAAGTTAGAAGTGTACAAAAACTAGTTGCAAAGATATGAACATGAAGGAGTTCTGCTAAGGGAACTTGTTACACAGAAAGTACTTACTATATAGATGTATTCTTATATGTGTACTTTTCACCTGTGAAGAATTGAATAAAAATGTCCAAAACCAGCTAAACAATCCAGAAAATTTATAAACTATGCAAAGAACAGAAAGGTCTGATCAACTACTGTGGCCTAATAAAAAAAATATTGCAAGAACACTTTCTGGAAAAAAGGGTCCAAACGTTTTTAAGTATGCTTGAAAGATAGGGATTGGGAGACCTGTTCCCTAAAGACCATACTAGGAGTAACTGCTAGAAGAGGAGATTCAACCTTACTTGCAGCATCTCAGATTTTAATCACCTTTGGGCTTCTGTGTCCTAATCTAAGGTTAACCAGCCCAAAATACCAGAAACTCCCATGCTGATAACCTGAGATGAGATGGCATCCTTTTTCTTTTGGGTCTGAGAGTGTTTACACTCAAGAACAAGTATA